CTTGGCCCCGTCCATCGACCACTTAGTCCGGTCAATGCAGCAGCATGCCTTAGTGGATAAACGGTTCAAAATGCTGGACGATATGCACAAATTCATCAATGACTTATATACCTCGAAGCCGTGACGGCATTCGTACGTTACCTGAGGGATGACGCAAGGTCATAGAAAACGAAGACAATATTTCCAAAATTAAATTCGTTGTTCTATTTTTAACATTACGCAAACTTTGATATTCATTTATACCCCTTGCAGTATCAACTAACTACAACAAGCGGGTTAACACTTAATTGCGTGTATCATTGGTCCAAGATTTTTTATGCCTGCAATTTTACGGTTAAATAGAAATTGCAACTGAAGTATTTAGGTTAACGTGTGGGATAATTCTCATAATGTACGTGGAAACCTAAGCCTCGTTGTAATCCGTTTTCTGGACTGAAGTAAAATCTGTATATTTCGCACAACCATGCTATCGAGGCAGATAAAATTAAATGCAAATGACACTACACCAATGGTAATGATCGTTGAACCCGTCGAAATAGTAAAACGCTTAATGTTAATCAATTACTTTGTATAAAACTGGTGGTTTTTGACCAAAATCCATTACTACCCAATCAATTTCCCTGTTTCTGACTATCGAATATACCACAAAGAAGGTGCATTTTCCAAGACAATGAGGTCAATGGCTTTGATTTAAACTATATTTTACAGCCTTTTGGTAACTGAAGTCTGTTACTAACCGACATCTCTCCTGACGTTTGTTCAGGATTCATAATATTGGGTAAATAGCTCTTCCAAATTAAAACAAATGTCCTTTCAAAATAGTTGTCGGCTATAAAATTGCTACATTGTTGAGTTTCTTTGCAAACACAAAATTACACTGAGTTCTTATCTTGTCTCGTTTGTTGATTCAATCAAAGAAAGGAAAACGAGGTAAATAAATATGCTTCATTTTAAATTTTCGATCCAATGACATTTGCTCTGGTAAAATTGATTTGTTTCTTTTCAGTAGTTTAGTTTTCATATTTGGAAGTTGGTGTTACATGAATTCTGGCAGATGCTGCATGTATACTGTAAGAATATTTGAGCCTTGGCCGGAAACATCATTCGACCTTCAATAAGACTTAACTAAATATTCAACACGCATTTTTTTACAGATTGATAACAAATTGGAAGTTATCCTGACTATTTTTTCCAGTGTTTATGAAAATTTTGCCATCTTAGTTTGGGTTGTTTCTCAATGATAAATGCGTGCGCCATTAAAAGTTACTTTGTGTGGTGGTCACGGCTTTTGTCGGTTTCGAATAGGAAGATATACAAGCTTAAACTGTTGGGTTTTGCTGACTCATCCACCGGTGCATGTCTCTCGTTCATTTAGGATTAAGGGGTGAACTCTTATTCTTCGATTTGAAGACACTTTCGTCTTTACACTACACACTTAAATCCTATATTGTAGATTTTGTAGTCATATACGCGCGTTCAGGTGTAATTTCTTTCACCTTATTACATGATGCTCAGCTACTGAGATTGACTATGTGCGTCCAGAAAGCATTCTGTATTTGTGCGAATTAAACGTACTGGCCACGCAGTCCATTAAACTAAAATTTGGCCGACTTTAATTGGCTTTTAGGTTGTGAGAATTCACACTGAACGGGGAAATATGAAAGTATCACTTTTAAGACGTTTAGATTAAAGTTTCATTACATGATGAATTAAGATGGGAAAGAAATTCATAATGTGCATACGTGACTAGTCGTAACCATAAAGTGTTGATTATACAAATGTTTAAATTCAACGAATTCCCATCCGGATTCTGGCAAATATTTCCAACTTTTCACAGTTTTCATCTGGTGTGGAGAAAGAAGTGATCGAACAATACTTTGTCCAAAAAATTTTCATCAAGGACATAAGATGACGAAAGTCTTTTAGAGAAAAATCTTATCTGGATTTGGGCAAAAATATGCTTTTTTGACTCATTGATGCTGGAATATCTAAAATGCATTACTTCTAATAAACTCCGTCAATAAAACTTAAAGTTAGCAGATTGCTTGATTATTTTAAACAACAAAAATATGATCCGACGCTTTGCTAAATGAGTATTCTATTTTTCACAGTTGGAGACCTTTCATTTACACCTAAATGAGAGTTGCATTTCAGAATTTCAAAATATAGACTATCTTTATTAAATAATTTAAAGAAACTATCTCAGAACAATATTACTTGCATGAAGGTTCTGTTAAAACACTACAAACACCATGGCCGGCATTGATTTAAGCCATAATTGGGAAGCATACGACAAACTTTTAGAAATTCATGGTCACATTTCTTTGATTCGGTGTGTGAAAAATCCACTGCTCAAAATTTTTAATGCACTTTCTCTCATACTTACTTAAAGGGAACATTAGCGTCAGCGTTGAAAAGATATTTTTCGTAAATTTTTGGTGACATGACTTAATGCGTCACACGTCTCCTCCACTGTGAACACTTATTTGTCCACTAAATGAACTTAGAGTACAATTCACCTGGCATATAAAGGCCCTTTTAATTCCCACATGCTTCACGTTATTTTTCCTTAACTGTTTGTAATCATAGAACAACTTGGTGTGGGTCATAAACGTATGTGCAATACGAAAAATTAGAATGATGCAAAATATTGATCCCGCACATCTTTTGTTCACATCAGGTACAAAAGTGAGAAGGACTGTAACATCATGACTTGAACCACATTTATGGCAACATTAATGAATTTGGGATGCAAGTGTAAAGAAGGAAGTGTTATTTAATTTGTATCGTTTTGGCCAGATCAAATATCATCTGTCACGGTTCATTGCTGGGTAATCAAAATATCATCGTAAATCTGCTTCAGAAACAGGTAAAATGAAGATTTCATGTGTTACATGGAACCTGTTTCGCTTGCATGACGTCTTAGTAAAAATCATTATTCATGTGGAAATCTAGAGCTCCACCACAAACTGATGAATTCAAAAGGGCAGCAATATGCTTGATGGCTCCTTGAAACATTTTTCATCGAAAGTGGAATTTTTCGTTAACTTTGCGTCGATATAATTCCTCTATTTCACAGGCTTTTATTCGATTATGCATTGCTTAAATCCGAAATTCTGTACTTTAATACCTAATCCAATTAATGGTGTGGTGGCAGAAGGACTAAAACGGTATGCTTTTCTGTGATTTTAGGTATCGGGTCAAAACTTGGTGCATTTGCGGTGATTGATGTCAGATATAAGGACACTTTGATGAAACAATCATTACGGACTGGTTTCGCTTAATTATTTTACTCAAATACTAATCCCCAAGGCTATTGCAAAATAAGACACGAATTAAAAAGACAATAAAAGGCTAAAGTTGAAAACGCTTATCTCTTTTCCCGCTCAATACCATGATTTTGTAGGACAATGTTTCTGTATGTTCTTGAATTCAACGTGCACTTAGATTAGCGTACTTATGTTAGCATTAGAGAATTTTAGCAAAAACGAAAACCATGAATATTTTATTTGTGTCTAATTATAACAATGGTGAGCATTCTGAAGTGCATCAAAAGCAGTCATGCTGATTGCTGACACTAGAATTAGGACCACTTCAAGTCGCACGCCACACCGAAACCAGCAAAGCTGTTTGCTGTAACATCCCTATCCTCGCTTTCCAGTTAAAGTATCTCGAGTAGCATCACAATGGATAACGCTATTTATGAAATCTACTCATCTACTTTTACAGCATAACACTTTGATTTAAGGGAAAATATTTACCCGGAAAGGGTAGAGAGTAAAAATTTTTCTAGGGTTTAGAGAAGTTTTTTAAAGAACAATACATTCAGATGGGCGTGCAACGCAAGAATCGACGTAGGTTCTGACAGAAATTTCAGGTTGAATGAAAGTCAAGAATTTCTTCGGATGGATTATTGGGTACTCAGAATAAAGTTTTGTTCTAGTTTATTTACATCTTGGCAAAGCCCTTAATGTATAAAGAAATTCGTGGAACCTTTCAGTAACAGTTTAAAATGCATTTCTTTTTATCTGGCACTGTGGCTTCTAGGGATGCCTTAAATTAATAAGTGTAGTCCTAGTTAAAAGCGACTTGCAATATTCAAACAAAGACTTTCAGGACATCTGTCATGTGTTATTTTTTTCCGGCGACATAACAAAGCCACCGCGGTTGAAAATCATCTTTAAAATATGCTTTTCTTGTTTATACTCATACTCCTTGTTGAACATTCTTACGGAAAAGTTAAAACCATGCTCTGCAAAGGTATGCGTTTTACAGGTATTGACTGACGTCATCCCTGGAATCCTGACATGATTCGTGATTTAATAAGTATACATCATTGATGACAATCGTCGTTTAATTTGATTATTTTAAACGCTGAAATCAAGATTAAATGCCGAAGTCTAGTTCACAAAAATGGCTCGCGCCGGCGTATGATAGGTTTCTCTCGACAATTATTTCTGTCTCAGGAACGATTTCTTTGCACCTTGTAGAATTTGACCACAGCTTTAAAAACTATGTAAGTTTTCAGAGCTACGATTATTTTCTTCATGCCTTGTATTAAAAGCACTCCCAGAAGTTAATTGTTAAACTGCTTGCAATAAAGTCTTGAGACTGCATCATGTAGTCACTTCATCTGGACAATTACAATTAAGTGTAAATAAGGGAATTAGACACATAACAATAAATGTGCAGGCATTATATATTGAAATACCTACACCTTCATCAAAGCTACTCGTTTTGACAGGTCTAGAAGGTGTAAATTAACATTCTGATGGTCTGTCATATTCAACTTCCATAAAGTTATTTGCTTTAGGGAACCTTCTAGAGGCTGTAGATGTCCTTCACCAGGGCTTGGATGGTTCTGCTTAAAGTTCTTGCTTGAAACTACACCTGTAACATTATGTACAGTGACGAAAGGTTGAGTTTTTCGGTAAAAGCAACAGTTTTTTTCATGTCGGTAACTTCTACCTGACCTCGAGCTGGTTTTATTGCTGTTTCGGATGATAACGCGTGTGGCTGGGGGCGAGATGCCCTGTTGCCAACGTGCGGGTGAGGGAAACTCGTGCTGCATTCTCATTGGTCGGGTGCCCGGCAGTCAATGGGCGTCAACTTGGTGGTCTCAACAGGTGGTTATGAGGTCTCTCTTACAGTCGCCTGCCTTCAAAAATCACTTCGTCACCATGCGGATGCCTTGTTGGATCTATTTACTGCTCCTGTCTCTTTTCTCGGCGGACATTGTCAAAGCTATTAAGTGGCTGTAAGTTAGTTGAATTTAATACACAATTACTAGGGCACCAAAACTGTTTACTATTCTTGACGTATTACCTATCAAAGCCCACACAAAGCCACACCTAAAAATCGTAAATATCTGGTATTTAATTTTAGTTACGTGATTGTCAACTTGGTCTTTTTTGGGAAGGCTGCTTTCATGTTACTTACATGACATCTTACATGTCTGCCGAGTAAATTTATCCTGCGTGAAAAGACAATAACCTTGGTAGATTTCCTGGAAACCTCAGTGTCATACAAAAAATATTGGGTTCTGTTACATTTTCGTTTGTGGGCACCATGTGGTCCTGGAATAACGGGTATTTCGGTAATCTGTGAGCTTGGGCATTTCGTACCTCGAGTCATCCTTTTTATATGCTACACCACACTTAACAATTTAGCCTAATGAATATCCGAGCACAAAAATCGAGCTACAAAGATCCTGATAACAGTGATGTACATATTATTAAAAATAATTGTTTTACATGCCCAACTTTTCACAGTCGAAAATTAAAAACCGAACCATTGTCATTTTAAATCCATGTAATACCCTACGGTAGCAATGCTCTCCAATTTGAGTTCAAGCAAGTGTGAGTTGTTCAAGTTAATTCATGTTCCTGCTTTTTTGAATCATGTTAGAAGGTACCATTTTAAACTTTCAAAACTTCGTGCATCGTGATTAGAACAGGAAATGTAGTTAGTATAGCAATAATTTGTGTACATCAATTGATGGGGATAATATAAATCGATTTCTACCAAAGCTATTTTACTAATTTCAAAATACACAAGTATCCTAGTCAACTTTTGTCCGTCTATGTATTGGAACCCTTCTGGGCTTGAGTAATCGTTAATTGCACTGACGATACTTAGACCCTCTGGTCTGTAACCGAATATTTATTTTTCGGCAAGGATTCTCCTTTGAGCGAGATTACAATTGCATAGAATCGAGCCAAATCTCGATTTAAACACCTTAATTGATAGTCCCCTATTGGATGTTTTAAAATGAGTCAATAAAACACAATTTGCATTCTTTTACACCTTTGCATACAGAGGTCTCTGGTAAGAATAAATATTTAACCATGCTGTAAATCAGATGCTCACTCATAGAATAAATATATTAAGCCAGCCCACTTGACCTCGTGTCTAGGCCATCATAACTGGTGGAAGGAATCAAAGTGACACATTTTGGCCTCCAATGATTGCACTTAATGTTACCGTCAGCATTCATCCACTTACATTTTCACTTCGTTATCATGTCTATTACTTTTCTTTGATTATTTAACAAGTTTGTCACGACCATACTCAATTGCTTACCATTCCACCCTCCTGTTTCTCTGGATGGAAACTTTGTCGTGTGTGGATGCTCACTTGCGACTAATTGATCGTCATGTAAGGCGGGAAGATGTGATACAACTCAACTACCTCAACTATTCTTGGATTGAACCTTGGGTCAGGGCTCTCAGGTAGAGAATATCAGTCAAAACCGCTTTTAACGCGGATTCAACAGTACCCATTCGTTGCGTGTCTCTATAACTTTATAGTTTATGGCGTACCTCTCATTGTTGGCTTTCAATACAGCAAGCTATAGTGTTAACTTTTAATGCTTTGAAGAGAGAATTTGATTTGTTTTCTTTTGAGCGCATTCTATGCTCTTACAACTATTTCGCAAGCAATCAACCGCATTCTGGTAACACTATTAAACCAACTCTTATTTCAAGTCGCATAACGTCAGCAATTTCATCCAATCTGTAAAGAAGCAATTTGAGGTTTGGGATACCACACACACGTTGTCGACTCGGGCACACACTTTCCCACGCCAGTCTCTCAGGAACCACTCGTTTCCCTTCTTCGTCGTGTGCGTTTTGGTGGCCACATCTGCTTAAGACTTCAATCTGGCTGACGCTGGAAGGGGTAGCACATCTATTCGCTATGCACAGGTGGCGTTAGAGAGCATTAAACAACAATAAACCTGGTTATAGCACCCAGCCATTCTTCTTCATCAGGCGTGCATGTGTTTCGCATTTTTGATAATCCGGGAACATGAATGGGTAGGTGGCTCCAGCTAATAATGACGCGCTTGATAAAACTGCCAATTTAAAACGGCATTTTGTGGTGCATGATAACATTAGTCAAAATTTGGCCATTTTATGACTTATAAGCTTTAAACTCAGAATTTCCGTAGATTAGCACTGTAACACCTACAATGAAATGTCGTGATTGATTCATCTAGCAATACCATTCTGCCTGCAAAAACGCTTGATTTACTTGGAACACCTTGGTCTGTGAGATAGCTCCCCATATGCATGACTTAAACTTAGGTAATGAAGCTATAGAAACTTATCAATTGTAAGGTCCCGATAATACTATCACCTAAAAGCCTTTAAAAGTTTGCTACCAACACTCGAAGCAAAGAACCCAGGATGCAAGACAGTCTAATGAAATAACTTGCTAGATGTGCTTTTGAAATGCTTCCAAAGCTTCATGTGGGTCTGGGTTCAGAACACTTTATTATTTAAACAGAATTTCAAGTAAGGTACCGCCCTCGATCCAACGCACATTTTTAGGTAAACACTTTTGGCCTGGTGGTCGTGGCTGTCTGGTTGGATGGATGTAATTCTTTATGGGCTTGTTTGCTTTGTAACACTTGTCTGAATGTTGCCAAAATATAAAAGGAGAATCACTTTTGGTAGCCACTCAGTTATGGACATTTTGGCAATAGTAATAAAGGACGCATTTGCCTCTCAACGAATTATCCTCCGGGCGCGATCAAAACCCCCACAAATGTCGAATCAAAACAAACGACATAGTGCATTCGTCAATACGCCGTGTTTACCGTATTAAACGATATTAATGGCAATAATAAAACGAATGCCACTTGATAATGCTCTACATTTTGGTCACGCCCATAAACCAAGCAAGCAACACATTTGATGATTAAACCGGCATTGGTTTCTACAAGCAAATTCTAATTCAGTAGTCAGTGAATCGCGCATCTATTCTCCTAAATAACGTTATAGTAGAAACACGAACAGTTACAATTTCTGTCAATGGTGAGTCTTAAGAACAAATCAAGTGATAAAATCCTACTTGTACATTATTGAAAATTTAGTTTTAATTAACGAGTATTGAACCAAGATACCCTCTTTAGCAAATGGTGGGTTTTCCTTTATTCATTCTTCCATAGGAACGAAACGAAACGCTACATTAAATGAGGCCAGTACCGAGGAGACAACTTACTCTTTTGCACTTAATTAAGCCATAAAATTTCGATGAAACCGAAATTACCGGTTTCCGACGCTGATTATGTTGCATGTGTCAAAACACCTGCTTGAGCTTATTTTATGGGTAATCTCAGAAATGGCCGGAAGCCATCATGCATATAACATCCACTTTGCCAGAGGTCACTAACAAGGAGTTACTAAGCCTGATTAATTCATACGGTATAGGCAGGTGTTCAAGTTTATAATAAATTGAACAACCAAATTGCTTGAAGAACCCATAATATAATACCAGAAGGCTTTAAGGAATGATTCTGCATAGGTATGCCTTTTAGGAAGTAGTAGGTCTGAGACGATCGATTTGACGTCTCTAACTGGTTTCGTTGAAATTTTCGCGGTTTTTTGTCTTTAGCGGATTGGAAGTGAAAAATGTACGGCTCTAAGATACTGCACACATTTCCTCTAAAAAGTCTGTACCGAAACTCTCAGAGTGAATTACCAATTAAACTGCATTGGCAGGTGAATGGTATATTTGCAGCGCAGAAGGCTATTTAGTTCGCAGTCTTCCTACTGATACCTTCCGCAATTAATTTTAGAGTAACTTAAGTGCACGCATTTGCGTCGGATGACTCGCCCAATAAATCTAGTGGAACATGAACCTTACCGTTTTATTTAACGGTTTTGGGTCCCAGCATGTCAAATTGGTCTTGCAACCAGTTTCCCAGCAAATTATGAGTTATTAGTCGTTCAAAGTCTGGAAATACAATATAAAGGCCACGGCAGTCTGTCTGCACCAATTTACGAAAAGAATCTAACTCAACCGTTTTTCCTACCTCATTACTTTGTAAATATAGCTACTGGCTCCACGATGCGCCTACGAAATCGGGTGCATTTTAAGACCATATTCATGGAGCAATGGCACTAAAAGCCTTAGTATCAGACTATTGGTTATAATACTCCCTATTTTTGCTCCTTTTTAAATTGAAGATTGACTTAGTTTGCGGCCAAAGTAAAGTGTGTTCGGGTGAATTCAAGTCTACTGAATCATTTCCTAAGCTGGGAATTATAATACCTATAACTAAAAAACAGGCATTAAGTTAAAATTAAGCTGGAATCAGTTCGACGATATAAGTTATCAGCAGGTCGTCAGCGCTTTTTTAAATATATCCGTCCTATTTTAAAAGCTAATTTCTTGACGGATTTGGGAATTTTATCAGCAGCGAGACAATCAACATCCTGAAATCTCAAAACTCGCCTCGCAGCTGGATGTCCGAATTCATTCTGAAACTGTCACGTAAGGACTAGCTCTTGTAAAGTAAAATGTAACTCAAAGCCATCTACCTGATGCACATGCTATGATATGCAGTGTCCTATAGAAAATATTTACTGCGTTTCGACTGATACACAATTTTTTTCATTTTATTCTTTTTCAAGAGGTCTTCACCGCTTTCCGCGGACGAAATCCCTTGAGAAGGAGCGCTTTACCTCGAACGAGTGCACTTTAGCGAAGTATCGATACGGTCTGGGGCGAAAACAGCTGCTTTTCTGCCAACACCCCGAAGGCGGCTTTGCGATGCACGCCATTTTCAAATCCGCTCAAGCAGTGGCCTACTACTGTCCGCAGATCTTCAAAGATAGACGGTGGAACTGTTCCTCTGTTGAGCATCTTCCGAGAGCAACTCCTGACATAACTAGAAGTACGCATTTACATAACATGGCTTCCTATCAAGTGATGCTGACTTAACCGTGTACGGACATTAAGCAAAGCCTATTTGTAGAAGTAATACAAGTAGATTTCAAAATAACTTAAACTCAGCTACAGACCACATTTGTTGAAAATCAGTATCCGCAACGAGGAATCGAACGATTTGCAATAATATACGCCCGAAACGTTTACAAATTGAATTTAAGAGGATATGCACAACTTTTTCCACAAGGCGTTGTGAACATTACTTCGAACTAAACGAACCACGTGATACCATTGAAACGATACGCATAAATAAATAGCTAGGGACGAAACCTATGCAAGCAAAGTTTAAGTAATTTTTAATTCCCACAGCATCAGCTCAGTTTTTCCGGTTCACATAAATAAATGTGGTATTTTGTACCAAGCATTTTTTGAATTGCTTGACAGTTAAAATGAATGCAACTTCCAAATTTGATTAATACCACTCGATTTGAATACAGAGGAAAAACCCCCCCGAAAAGGATTTTATTAGGGATTAGCTGTTTGATCTTACTTGGATGACAAGAAACGATTAGAAGTGGAAGAACCAAATGCAATTTCAAATGTTTGCAATATCTTCGCACGCATTTCCTGTCTGACTTCAAGCGAAATATAGACTCAATATGGAGGAAGACGAATTAGCTTAGAAAAGCAGGGATGAGCTGCACAGTTCCGGCGCAGTTAATTTTGAATGGCAGTAAAATTGCCTATTCATTCATACATAAACCGCGCAGTCACTTTCGGAGCCACGGTAACTAAAATTTAGTGTTATGTAACCAAAAGGTATCTCCACCTACTGCACAAAAAACGTATGTAGCATAATGCAAATGACTGGCAAATTTATGTAGCAAATATGTCTTAAATTTCCAACTTCAACACATTTACTAAATACTCCACCAGCACGTGGTCACAAGTCTGCTCGATTGACTTGAGCGTTAATTTACCCCAGTGAAAGGAAATTGCATTATGACTAGTTGCCCCTTGACGTTTGATCGGATGTCAACTGGGCAAAGACGCGTTGATGGGAGATCTGTTCCAAGGCCACTAGAGGAAGCTTTGTATTAAAAATTGATAACTTAAATCAGGCTATGCACCCGATTTTTCTGCGATATTTGAATAGGAAGGTCTTCTTGTGACTTCGACTCTTCTTCAACTTGACTTACAGGATGATTAGTAACATCGAAATTCGCCATCTGATCCAATAAAGTACTCGATCCTATTGAATTTTAATGTTGTCGACATCGTTTAAACTAACACCTATTTATGAAACTTCGAAGTGGTACAAAGGCACCTTATGCATTTCAAACCCGGATTTTACATCGAATGCTATTAAAAATTTATTCCAAACTGGATGTATACGACTGGTCCATCTCTGAACGTGATTTATTTAAACAGTTTGCAGTAATACAGGAACAGTAACACATAGGTATGGCAGAGCTAGAATGTTGTATAATGTTTCTTGCTGACATGTCGTCCCCTTATATAGGGATTTCCACTCAAATCCAATCCGTTTAGTGTGATTTGGTAGTATTACTTACACTATGTCGAGTGAAATTTTTTTACGCAAATTACAAAAAAGCATATGATTTTTATTTTACAAAATGGGATAATTTTGCATTGCATTCACCCAGATCCCGAAGATACAATCCTGTGTATTCCACAGTTTGAACTAAAAGATGCCAGATGATAAAGACGTTTACACGTCTTTACCATGACTACCAGACCCGAAGTTAAAAAGGCGCATCAAAATGAGAGCATGAGCCAATCTCGAGTGTTTCAGACACAAAATCAATACAACTGTTGATAAAAAAGTAGATCCACTTGAAGTGTCACTCTATCTACAACTTCTACATAACTAGCTTTTGCAAATATAACGGAGCACACACGTGTCAAGGGCCCAAAATATCTCATACTGTAATTTTTGCTAACGCGTCAACTCTCCACTGTGTTCTACAGCTACCCGCGAAAAAGCCGCCATGCACGCACTTGCTAGTGCCGCGCTCATGTTTGAGATAGCTCGTCGATGCGCAGAAAACAAGATCGTGGACTGTGAGTGCGGTCGAGTGGGCAGTTGGGACGTTCCTCCACAACCCCACCAAGTTGAAGACCAAGGCGTCCCAGACAACGGCCAAATCGCGAACACGCCCATTCAGTACCATTGGGGAGGGTGTTCGGACAACGTAGACGTAGCAAGGGCTTACGCGCAAGCGTTTCTTGGATTTCCCATTGAGAAAACGCCACCAAGGAGGAAAAGCAGGCTTGCAATGGGTACTTACAACCCCTACAGGAGAATACCAAGGCAAGCGCCGAACAGGAATGGAAAAGAGAGTTCAGTGAAGAAGATAAGGCGCATTGTTAACTTGCACAATTACAAAGCTGGTTTTAAAGTAAGTTTCACAACGTAAGTGGTGTTTTCTAATCTATCGGCAGTTTCATTTGGCAACTACTGGAACCTCCATAAGTAAACGTAATTAAGTCGCACGTCTGATGTTGCTCATTAAATACCGGTCAAGCAATCTGCAAGTTGATAGACTAGCATTGGTATCAAAGTAGATTGGTAAAATTTTTAAATGCACTTAAAATATTTTTTTATTTATGGATAGTAAATAATACACCCGATACCACGATCAACTACGTAATTCAAATATACTTCAGATGTTCATTAGAAGTACCATCCCAAAATTAAATACTGAACTAGAAATCCAGGACCACACTGAAATTACTCCCCATTGGCCGAATATGGCAAAATGACTTTAGTAAGTGCGGCCACTTCAGAAGTTTGATGGCGAAGTCTGTCAATTTTGTGATGGCTACGGTGACACAGTACAATCAAAAGCAAGTCATCTCTAAAATTCGTACACCAAAATACTCATTATTCATAGGTGTATGTAAGGAAACTCCCGGGTCTTCTATGTCAATTTTTACTCAATCTTTCAGCTCATTGAAGACGCACAAAAGATAAGGTGTAAGTGCCAAGGAGTCAGTGGGAGTTGCGCTCACAAGATCTGCTTTCGACAGTTGCTCCGAGTGGATTCACCGCAGCTGCAAGAAATGATCCTCCAACGATATATGGTGAGCTCATTTCAGCGAAAGTCAATTCCTGCAAGTGACACTACTTTTCTGATGACAAGATTAACGACTTAATAAAATACTGTGGGTGTGCAAATTGTGGATAGTACTTTACATCAACTGAGGATATGAAGTTCTTAAAAGTACCCCAAGGACATTACAGACTTCAATTCGTGAATTTAATGTTAATCGGCGTTGCAAAGTTAGACTGCAACGGCACGCATAGTGAATTCTCCGCAGGCCATTTTTAAACAAGCCTACTGCATAATTAGCCTAAATGATGTCCGGCAGACAGGTGAACAAAGCTAAACATAACAACCATAATAGAAACTTAAACAAAACAAAGAGCGGAAATTCTTCACCGAAAAATGTACAATTTTTTCTGTTTAGGCGGCCCAACACGTATCGGTGGAATATGGAAACCTCCTAATCGCCAAAGAGTATGATTACGGTGCGTACGCCCCGCGAGTTATTCACTACGGCGAACTGGCCTTCACAGAACACTCGCCAGATTTCTGTGAAGCAGATCCCCGACTTGGCTCCGTTGGAACGAAGGGAAGGTGAGTATCTCTGTTCCACCATAACCATACCTGACTGCCACAAGATCAAGTATCACGCAAAAGCGGCACGATTAAAATGATGAAAGTGCAGTTATTCAACCAGAAATTGTTTTAATTCTAACGCAGGTCATGTACTACCAACGACACGGCAAGAACGGAGTCACATCACTGTCAAAATATGTGCTGTGGACGCGGCCATGTGACTTTCAACGAGACTTTCTTCGTCAACTGCAATTGCCGGATTACTAAGCAGTTTCGAGTTATTTGCAGCAAATGCCCTCGAGTCATCACAAGAAGTATTTGTAAATGATCTATAACTCTGTGTCTGCGTGTACATACGACTTTCAAACAGATTAATATCTTCAAAATCACCCTCGACCAAACACTCGTACAAAGGCATGCATGTTTCAGCATGTTTACACATTTTCCACGATATTTTTAACTTAATAAGCGACAGTTTACCTTCAGTAAATATAAAGCACCATACATCAGTTTTGTTTTCCTGGGAGAAAACCCAACAAAAACAGGTGAATAATATTACAGATAAAGGGTTAATAGCTAACAAGCAAAAAACCACAATTTAAAAAATAACCGATTCGAGATCCTTGTTGATAAAAAAATTTAATAGGATGTTGGCTAATGCAAAAATTACTACAGTCTGAAAAATTCCAAATGCAACATCCATAGGCGACACGAAGGCACCCCTTTAGGTAGGCGAACCCTGTTTTTCATGCCACTGTTTAGGAGTAAGTGTTGTGAGAGTAAGCGCGTGGATATTCTTCATTTCCTCGTTCAAAAGATTATGCACCATTCTAGACAAGTGCATTAAACCCTGAAGCTACACTAACCTGTGCTGTTGGATAGGTTTTTTGCCCTCAAATTCCTCAGATACAATCTCAACGTTTAGTTTGAGACCACATGAATCTGAGAAGTCAGTTATCTTCTACACAAAACCCACTATAAGAACACTTTAAACATACCAGGTGAATTGGATTTAACTTGGCAATATGTGCTCGAACGGAATCCTCGACCTTGGACATTCGCTCTTCCCGATTCGGCAGCGTTGTACTTCAGTGTAGAGTGCAGCGTGATATATGCGGTTTGGTGTGATGTTGTG